ATGTTGCGAAACTTACCAGTTCGTTTCAATTTCCATTATCTAAATGTCTGGAACCTACAAAAAGTAAAAAAGAAACGTTAGTTAACATTTCTTTTAATAAAAAAAAACAAAAATTAAGTTTCGCAATGTAACATTGCGAAACTTACCAGTCGTTTCATTCATTCCAACGTCCGGAATCTACAAAAAATAAAAAAGAAACGTTAATATAAACGTTTCTTTTAATAAAAAAAACAAAAATTAAGTTTCGCAATGTAACATTGTGAAACTTACCGGTCGTTTCCATCATTCTAACGTCCGGAACCTACAAAAAGTAAAAAAGAAACATTAATATAAACGTTTCTTTTAATAAAAAAAATAAAAATTAAGTTTCGCAATGTAACATTACGAAACTTACTGGTCGTTTCATTCATTTCAACGTCCGGAACCTACAAAAAGTAAAAAAGAAATGTTAATATAAACGTTTCTTTTAATAAAAAAAATAAAAATTAAGTTTCGCAATGTAACATTGCGAAACTTACCAGTCGTTTCCATCATCCTGACGTCCGGAACCTACAAAAAGTAAAAGAAAGAAACATTAGTTAACGTTTCTTAAAAAAAAATAAATAAAAATAAAGTTTCGCAACACAATGTTGCGAAACTCACCGGTTCGTTTCGAACTCTATCATCCAAACGTCCGGTGTTCCTACAAAAAGAAAAAGGAAACTTAGAAACGTTTCCTTACAAAAAAAATTTTAAAAATATTTTTTTTAAAAAAGTTTCGAAGCGAAAAACGCTTCGAAACTTACCCTTTCGGTTCTTTACTTCCCGAAGTCGAATACCGAAAACCTACACAAAAGAAAATAAAGGATCGTTAAAAACGTTCCTTATAAAAGTAAAAAAAAAATTTAAAGTTTCGAAGCGAAACGCTTCGAAACTTTACCATCATTTCATTTCCTCGTTTCAGTAAAAGCATCAAAAATCCTACAAAAAAGAAGAAAGGAAACGTTAGAAACGTTTCCTAAAATAAATTAAAAAAAAAATCAATAAGTTTCGCTTTGAAACTTACTGATTCCACTTCCAAAATCGAATACCGAAAGACCTATACAAAAAAAAAATAGGAAACGTTAGAAACGTTTCCTTACAAAAAAGAATTAAAAAAAAGATTTTTTAAAAAGTTTCATAATGAAATGAAACTTACCTAACGTTCCGAACACTCCGATCCTACAAAAAGGATAAAGGAAATGTTTTCTAAACGTTTCCTAATAAAAAATTAAAAAAAAAATTGAGTTTCGAAGTGAAAGTGTTTCACTTCGAAACTTACCATATCGAAGCAAATGCTTCAAAACTTCATGGTTTACCGAACTTGAAGACAAACCATACTCCTCTTCGAAGGTTTTCCTTCACCTCGCCTACTAAACATAAGAATTCCACGCATCGACCTAAGAATGAATAGACCATATCTTGGGACCCTTCTCAATAATGCGAATTTTACGGCAAAACTCATTTTCCGAAATTGAATACGTTAAATATCTACAAAAAAACAAGTATAGGAGTCAGTTCCTAAAAGATATTAAAAACACAATTTTTAAAAAGTTTTGAAGCATTTCACTTCGAAACTTACCATTATTTTTCTGAAAGACAATTCCGGGAAGGGAAAAGGGAAGGGGAAGGGGAGAACGAAAGAGAAAGGGGAAAACGAAATGGGAAGGGAGAACGAAGGAGAAAAGGGAGAATGAAAGAGAAAAAGGGAAAATGAAATAGGAAGGGGAGAACGAAAGAGAAAAGGGAAGGGAACGAAATGGGAATGGGAAAAGGCGAAAGAAATTGAAAGATCGTGAGAAAAAATTAAGCTTTTACTAAAAAAAACTTAATTTTTTTTCGCTATACCGCAGCAGGCGCAGCTTCAGCTGCGCCTGCTGCGGTAATTATTAGTAATATCACATGATACACGTAATATATATTTTTATATAAATAGGGGCATTTTCCCCGAAAAAATTTTTTTTTTTTATTATAATTTTTTTGATAGATGTATATATATATCTATCTAATAATTTTACAAAAAGCCCCTCCTCTGTAAACAGGTAGAAGCCATAAAGTACCTATAGGGGGAGAGCCATTGCTGCTCCCTCCGCCTGTTTATAGTGACAAAAAGAGGGAGTCTTCAGTAGTAAGNGGTTCCTTTGCTGAGTTAACAGAAAGGTTGGAAGGGACGAAATATGCTACAATGAGTTACATATATCCAGGTATCATTAAACTCAAAACTATGTTTAGTCTAACAATAAACTCTAATTTAGATTTGGAAACAAATGATGATGTGTTTGAAAATCATCAATTTGAAGAAGTTGATGAAGATGATGAACCCGATGCCAGTCGAAAAATCAAAATAAATACTCCTACTAATACCTTCGGGCTTTTGGATGGTATTAAATCAAATCTTTATAAGGCACTTGAAAATTATTTTGAGGTAATTGAAAAGGAAGCACTTATTGCAGCACTTTTGGATCCACGTAAAAAAAAAACAGCATTTGCAAACAATGAACAAAAGGTATTAGCAAAAGCTAATCTTCACAAAATTTATGAATTAGCAAAGAATACTAATATTCAACTAGACTACTAGAGGAATGTGAGCCAAAACCAAAAAAAAGAAAAACTTCAACACGAGTTTATAAAAGAAGCTTGTTCTTAGATGATGAATCTCATGATCTTCAGACTGAAGATAATGAAGTTGAATGATATTTAGTAATGGCACAAATCAAAAACGATCAAGATCCTTTAAAATGGTGGGACGTAAATAAGCTGTCTCTTATACACATCTAGATGTGTATAAGAGACAGAATAAAGGTTATTGTAGAAAATTGGCCCTTTACTAATAGTTTTTACCTTACTTTTTTCTTAAATTCTATTGGTTAATTAGCTAAAAAGGAAAAAAATCATAACAATGTAACATAAAATTTCCTTTTATAATAAGATCTGCAAAGAATTTTATATATGATTTTATTTTAGGCCTGGGGGCAGTGTTGTACATTTTTGATGTCTGAAGCTTTTTTTGGTTGTCCCGGACATGTCCGCACTCTAGAGCTTTCCTTGAACAGATAAAATCCTAGGATTTATCTGGATTATCCTATTATCCAAATTTATATCCGGTTAATTTTATACCTGTCTCTTATACACATCTAGATGTGTATAAGAGACAGGGACAATGTTGTAATAATGCTATTCCAAAAAATTGCTCAGCGTAATGCAGCATTTTCCACAATTTCCCACCATTTTCCAGAAAAATGTGGAATTTGCATTTTTTGAATTTTGGACAATGGTGCCCCTTCGACCTGTGCCTTTACCATCCGTTTTACAATCAATACAAACTTCCATTGATTCTTCTTATGATATATTATCTCCTACAAATTTACCAATTTCATTTCCTAGTACCGTACCGTACTATTCAAATTCTACGGTACCATCAAACAATTGTCCACCTGATCAAAACCCATATTCTCTTTCACCTACATACCTTTTTAATTCTAGCTCATTTGCTACATCTCATAATAGTAGTATAACTGCGTCCAGTACTTTGAATTTCTCAAGTTCCGATAATAGACAAGAAGAAAATAGACTTTACTATTATGTTTAAAGAATACTAGTGTTCACCCGTTGTCTACGACAACGGTTAATATGTATTAAAATGGCATAATTCCGGCCAGAATTAAAAGATCTGCAAAGAATTTCTTTTTTGGAAATTTGAGCAACACAATTTTTTTAATTTCTCTGAAAAGTAACAGAAGATAAAATTTCCTTTTTTGGAAATTCGCGTAACTGTCAATTTCCTTTTATGGAATTCTGTGTAACTCAAAATTTCAGTTTTTTGCCAGAAATAAAATTTCCTTTTTGATCTTGTGTAACATTGGCGACAAATAGGAGTAGGGTTACACAATTCAAATGACTTTATTTATATGGTTAATCTAAACATAACGCCCACGTGATTGCAGTGTTTTTTAATATATAGAAGATTAGAGCCTTTAAATTTTTATAAAATTAATAAAGTCTGTTAAATAGGTTTTTTCCAATATACAACAAAAATAAAAAAAAAAATAAAAAAAAAAAAATTTTTAAAATATCGGAAATGTCTATTAATTATCACTAATACTGTGCTACTTATTACATAATTTTTTATCACATTTCAGGTCAAGAAAAAAATATTTTTGTCATACATAATTATGCATATTTTGATTGGATCAAGAAAGTAACATGAGGAGGGTCAAGAAGGTAATTTTTGTGTCACTAATAGTCTGCTTCTCATCTATGTGAAAAACACTAGACTGAACTCAATAAGATAACACCATGAGTCTAATCAAGAAAATGATAATATAGTTTCATTACAAAAAAAATTGATTGAACAAATTACCAGTTCTCATGTAACTAAAGTTAGAGGGGTTCTATCAAAAAAAAGATTAAGAAGCACAATGGAAATATCAAAAAGGAGAGCTCCAATGCAAGAAATTGCAGATGAAAGTAACATTCAGCCTATAAAACAACAGTGTAAATGCTTATTGTATGGTAAATTTGGTCATTATCAGAAAAAATGTCCAGGGATATCATGATAATAGGTATGTTTTTTTTATTATTATCAAATAGAGTTTTATGGTTTCAATTACTTTAATTGAAATTGAATAATGGAATTTATAATGGAAAATTAGGTTAGTTTCACAATACTATAATAATTGATGTGTAACGAAAATTTTATGAGGTGAAAAAACTATATAAAGGACTTGTGTTTGCTGGAGGATGGTTGGAAAAATATCTTTTTTTTGTGATTTTTCATATAATTTGGGTATAAATTTAAAACTTCATCAATATTAATTATATTACAATTTAATATTTATTAAATTATACACATTAGGGTAGTGACATTTATTACGTAATATTTTAGGGGTGGGAGGGTATTTAAAGGTCATATAACATATAAGTGTAATGTAAGATTTTTCATATTACATGGGGGTGGGGGAGTATAGGCTTATAGTAAATGGATATTACGTAATAAATGTCACTACCCTTATTATTAAGTTATATTTCATTTATTATTGCATAAAATTGCAGAAAAATTATTTATTAAAATTTATTTAAACAAAAAAACTAAAAATTTATCGAATCACATGACTGGTACTGGCGAGCGTAATGTTATATTCGAAACATTTTTTTCGATATTTTAATAAAAACGTTGCGAAAACGTTTTTTTCATAATATTATATTAAATGCAACATTTTTTTTCGATATTTTAATAAAAATGGTTGCGAAAACATTTTTTCCATAATATTATAAAAAAAGTAAAAAACGCAATCAGTGATGATTGATAGACAGATCTTATCCATATAAGTTAAGCTGCCACAGATGTGCGGCCGTTGTTTACGCGAAATTATCACGTCAAACCCACTCTTTCAAATGGAGTTTACTGATTTATTCAAGCAATCCTTGTATCTCTGTCGGTTCTCTCCAAACGCAAAGTACTTAGCAACAGCTTCAAAATGTCACCTTGTTATACGTGAAGCATCTTCCTTTCAAATAGTGTTAATGATAACTTGGTCTGATAATATTCAGAAGGTTTTATGGTCTCCCGATTCAGAATTAATATTAGTAGCAAGTTATAAAACTGGAAAAGTTACTATATACCAAGTAAATGATAAAAAATGGAGTGCCGATATTGAAGAAGGAACGTCGGGATTAACAAACGTAAAATGGAGCTTGGACGCCAGAACGTTGTTATGCTTTTCTGATTTTCAGGTATTGCGACAACGACTACAATTAATTAAGATCTTTAATTTTTTATATTTAACTATATTTAAATATATAGTTGCGAGTAACGATATGGTCATTAACAACTAAAGAAGTTTGCTACATACAATATCCTAAATATTATGAAAAAGGTAAATTAATCATTATTCAGTATGTCTTATATTCTTGTCGGTAAAATTTATAAACCATGTGCCGCTTTGCTGAGAATTTCTTTTAATGATTTTTCAAAGGTTTATTCTATTTACTACACGAGTGTTACTCACATTATTTTTGTTACTCAAGGTTACGATTTTCGAAAAGATGGACGTTACTTTGTTTTAGCTGAACGCCGGGATGGTAAAGATTATTTAGGTGTCTATGATTGTGATAATTCATTTAAAATGATGAAGGTGAGTTTTTTCATAAACTATTGACGCGTATTATTGATAAATTACAAAGTATATATCGATTTTGTAGCATTTCAAAGTGGATACAATCGATTTGGAAAATTTGGCATGGTCTCCTGATGGACGGTATATAGCAGTATGGGACAACTGTATTCAATACAAAGTTCTAATATATACACCTGATGGACGATGCCAACAATCTTACTCAGCATATGACAACGGATTGGGTGTAAAATCTGTTGCATGGGCACCTTCTAGTCAGTTTTTAGCAATTGGAAGTTATGATCAAAAAATTCGATTTCTTAATCACTACACTTGGACACCAATCATTGAATTCACACACGCTGTACAACTTAATAATCGAGATTTGGTAAAAAGGTTTTTTCTTAAATGTAATTAAATAACAAAATTAATTCATATGTAATTGCTTTAAATTTAGGCAATATGGAAAGAAGAGTTAGATAGTCTGAAAGAATCCGGAAGAATAATCGCTCGTTGTAGGTCAAATCGTCATAAATATTATATATAATTTTGACTGACATCTAAATCATATTTTTATAATTGAATAGTTGTAATCTTAGAGCAACCGCTCCAAGAGTTACAATCAATTCGACCTGATCCGGACAAACCAAATCCAAAAATTGGTGTTGGTGTCTGTAAGTTCAATGCTAGTGGCAGTTTAATAGCTTCACGTAATGGTAAGTTTTCTACTTAGAACTTAAATATTTTTTATTGGCTAAAACGTTCTTGTTATAATCAACAGATAATATGCCTAATTGTCTCTGGATTTGGGATATTTCACTAATGAAGCCTATAGTTTTGATTATACAAATATCTCCAATACGACATTTCTATTGGAGTCCTATAAATGCGGAACAATTGGTAATATGCTGTGGTAATGAAAATATATATTTTTGGTCAGGTCAAAAATCTGGTGCTGAAATAATTGAAGTACCTGCCGGTAAGTGGTCTAAGAATTTATTTATACATCATACTATGAATATAAAAACTTATTTAATTTTATTTTGATATTTGTATAGTTAATTTTAAAGTTAATAATATTAGATGGAATCCCGATGGCAATTCTTTAGTCTTAATGGACAAAGAGCTATTTACTATGGCATTTATTGTTAAAAATACATCATTATTATAAATTCATATAAAACTGGTTTATCCCATGTACCATCTATGTAACTATTGAATTATACTACCCTGCTTATTTCTTTTTACATTTTTTTTGTAATTTGTACCACATTTTTGGAGTAGTAAATGTAGTTTACTATTTTTATTATCACAACTTAGAAAATATATGCACTCCTTGAAAACAAGAATCCTGTCACTTACTATGACGTTGTATAAAACTAAAAACGATAAGCAAATTTATAAATTAGATTTACTTGCCCCCCCCCCGGGTTAAATAAATCATCATCCTAAAAATTTGATATTTTGCCAAGTCTGAAATCTTTAATTTTCAAAAAAAAAAAAAAAATTATTTGTGCTATTATTTGGTTTACTTTATATAGATTTTAATTATTTGGACTAGTTTTCTTCCAATTTTGATAATGAATGTTTTGCTTGTTTTTGATTGTGACCATAATTTAGGAAATTTGGGCAAAATTATATAATTATATAAATTTTACTTAGGTTAATCTTGGGTTAAAATATTTATTTATTTATTTTAAATGTATATAAAATTTATTTATATTTGTTTACCTTAATTTTCAACAATTTAAATTTGAGTATTGCTAAATATTACTGCAGGTAATTGTCATACCAGAATTAGAGTAGAATTTCACTTTAGGTAAAATTAAAAATGTTATGAAACTCCAACTATTAATATTTGCTAATACTAGTAAAGTAAAATCACCTGTGATGAGAATTAGCAATGTCTATTAAGTAATTTATCAATTTTTTTATTTTTTATTTTTATTTTTGCGATGCATTTTAATACAAAATTATTAAATTACAAATTAATAGAAAGTATATATTAAAGAAACAACTACCAATATAGAATTTAATATTATTATTTTGTAAATTACTTGGTAGGTATCTATGTATGAAATGTAAAAATCTTAACATATAACATCCTACTTTTTATGCTAAAAAAACTGCAAAACTCATTATACCATAATTTTCATGATATTTTCCTGTAAAATTAAAGAAATAAAATGTAAAAACATCTTAAATTATTCAAATCACTAGTAAACTTTAATTAGCAATTTGCATTTATATAATCAGATTTATATATATATCATAATATAGCTGAAATTAATTCCATTATATTAAAGTAATTTTGAAATAATTGTATGTAAAGTATTTTCTATCAGATATTAGCAATATGAATTATAATAAAATAATACACCCTACATATACATGACTACAATTTTTAATATTAGTATTAATTCTATAATTTAAAATATAAAACTATAAAGTAAGTAAAATATAAAAAAAATTAAAGAAAAAGAAAAAAGTTCTAAAAAAATAAATCTATAAAAGATACAGTGTGATATAAAAAAAACTGAAATTAAAAAATTGATCATAACACCATGACGATCTCATCAAATTATATGTGAAATAACTTATTTGAAAGATGGAAATCCATAGATTTTATCAATAATAAATTAATATAGAATTTATTTCAGTAATTTTTCTATAATTAAGCTTATAATTATATTTTTTTTATTTAAAAATTTTTTATAACTATTTTAGAGTAAATTTATATTTTTTTGCATAAAATGCTTTATATTGTTAAAGAATTTTTTTTTTATTCGCATTTTTTCCATTTATCTTAATAAAATACAAGAAATTTCTAGTGAATTTGCATCTATTTTTTAATTTATGAATTTCATGCTAAATTTTTCTTTAAAATCAACGTTTGTAATTAATTTTCTCAAAAAGTAAAAAAGCATTAGAATTCTAAATGATGTCAAAATATAGCCCCAATATTTAAGTTTATTTTATAATTTAAATAATAAAAATTGGTTTTGTTTTAAGTAAATTACATGCATTTTTGTAATTTAAACCATTTACAGTCTAACCTTGATATACCGATATTCGATATACCGATATACTATTAAAAACTTGATATACCAATAAAATTTTATTTTCCTACTATATGTGAGGACATATAAATATCGGTATAATTTTGATTAGAGCTTTCCTTGAACGGATAAAATCCTAGGATTTATCCGGATTATCCTATTATCCAAATTTATATCCGGTTAATTTTATACAGATATCCGGATTTAAGAAATTATGAATGAATAATTCTATAGATTATCCAGATTATCTGGATTATCCTGAAAAATGATTAATATGTATAATCTGATTGACTGATTTGATAGTCATGCACAAATCGGCAATCATATATAAATATTTGTTATTTTGTACTACTTTTAAAAAAACGTTTTTTTTTTTATTCAAAGAATTTATAGAACAAAGAATATTTTAAAGTTTAATCTAAATATGTCAACTGAAAGAACTTTAGAAACACATGTACAATCTGAAGATAACTATTGTTACCGAATAATGACGGTAATTAAGGGACGAATGGCGGATGACTTATATCGTATAACTACACGAATACCAACAAAATTCTTACTCAATACTACCTATCCAAGGTACTTCCGGTATTGTTCGTTAAGAATCGTCAAGGTAAACACAAATATAACGATTTTATTAAACAGGTGTAAATTCGGATCTTTACAACAAAGTGATAAAAAGTGACAGAAAGGGATAGGAAATATATCTTAAAGATATTTAACGACAAAATAACTACAGAAAAATAGCTATATGGTAACTACTCTATCAAAGAGTTG